ATTTTCAGACAAAATTACCCTTAAACTCAAAACAATACATTAGTATTACTAACGTACCTACCACTCAATTTTTTTTTTAACTGCATAAAACACTAAAACAAGGTCTCTGATTTGAAACAAGGCCTCTGATTATTTCTTTTGAAATGTTCTTGCATTTGGAATATATATTGTACCTCTGATTTTTTATAAAATAAGATAAAGAAAGAGATATATACGAAAGATTTAAAAATATCAGTACCATGACTTTTTATAAAATTTAAAAGTAAAAATTTATTAAACTACATGGCAAAATCATCTCATAATTAGGAGGAAGTGGCTTTTTTCATTTATATATATATATATATATATATGAGTGTGTGTGTGTGTGTAACTTATCACAATTTAATAGAAAAGTATTGGGATTAAGATTTATGATGTTGAAATAAATCAAATTTTATGCCATAATAAATGCTTTTTCTACCGAATAAATAAATAATTAAAGATAATCCAAACAAATATTTTTCATTTAAGTGAAATATCTTTTGACTATAAAAAAAAATAAAAAATCAAGTGTGAAATATTAGCATATCCATAATTTTTTAGAATATTATAAATTTCTACTTTTAAATTTTATAAAAAAATCCTGGTACTCATATTTTTGGATCTCTCGTATATATATATCTCTTTCTTTATCTTATTTTATAAAAAATCATGGTACAAGTTTTTTTTTTTTTTTTTTTTGCTCACCAAAATCAATTTAAGTTGACATTTGATAAATAACTACCATATTAGTATATATATTTCTTTCTTTATCTTATTTTATAAAAAATCATGGTACAAGTTTTTTTTTTTTTTTTTTTTTTTTTTTTGCTCACCAAAATCAATTTAAGTTGACATTTGATAAATAACTACCATATTAGTATATATATTCCAAATGCAATAACATTTGGAAAGAAAAAACCAAAGGCCTCGTTTTAGTGTTTTATATAGTTAAAAAAATAAAAATAAAGTGAGTGGTGGACACTTTAGTAATACTAATGTTTTGTTTTGATTTTAAGGATAATTTTGTCTTAAAATTTTATCACACAATCATTCTAACAAAGGTTAATTAAAATGACCCCTCAAGATAGTTGAGGGGGATTAATTGTTAAAGATATTCATAAGGGGGTTTTTTTGTAAACGGGTGAAAGTCGAAGGGGATTTTTGCAATTCACCCTTTGTTTATTTGTTTGATTATGTGATTTATGTGCTTAGTGTGTATTTAATTGTTATTATGTGGTTTTAATTGTAATTATTTGCTTTAGTAATATTTTATTTATTTTAATTCTTCAATTGATTGGATTTTAGTACAACCATATCAGGTGGAGGATGAACTTTATCCTCTTAAATAGAGGAGCTAATTATCATCCTTTCTTTATTACAGTGATCTACATAAGATTATAATTGCCTTCAATCACTAAACTTATTTCTTGGCGCACTGCAACAAAGGCTACAATATTAACCAGTTTTGTTATTCTCTCCTTCCATGAATTTCTTATGACCCACCTAAACATTGTGGAAGTAATCACCAACCTTTTCTTTTTGTTTAAATAGTCAACATAAGCTTAAAATTGTCCTATATCAAGAATTCAAGAAAGACAATTTAGTTTGATTCTTGCCTAAATCAACTCACTATTCCAAGATTCTCACTATAGAATTATTCATCATTTATATATTTTTTCCTTAAAAACAAGGGATAATTCCATAAAAATAGGGTTTAAGGGGTCAAAGGATAAAAGAATTGAATCAAAATCAAGTTTTCCAAATTAATGGAATTTTATGTAAGTCTGACGTGGACATGAAAAATTACTATACATTATCTTTTTATTCCCAAATTAACCTTTTATTATTGTTCTAAAATTATGCTACTAACCCTCCCAAATCTAGAGAGAGAAGAGAAACGCATCTATACTCTCCTTCTCCAGCAGCTCCTCTTTCCTCAAACTCCCGAATCACACCGTCAAAATCACTGTAAAAAAAATGAAGTCAAAATCTACTTTTCTGTTCATTTTCTTTATAAATTATCAGTTCTCAATGTAATTTCCTTTCTGACTCTGATTTCTTCCTCTATTTTACTTATTTATTTTTAATTTCCATTCTAAGTTCTCAATGTAATTTCCTTTCTAACTTTGATTTCCCCCTCTATTTATTTCTATTTTACTTATTTATTTTAATGTCTTTTTTTTTATTAAAATAATGAAGTTTCACAATTATTAAAATAAATTTACTAAACAAATAAAATTGTCATTTAAACCAACACTATTAAATATTACTGTCTTATATTCTCTCTATTCTCTCTCGCTACTACTGCCAAATTCAAGATCTTCACAGTATATAGATATATAAAAATAAATGAGTAAAATAGAGGGAAAATCAAAGTTAGAAAGGAAATTAATTGAGAATTGATGATTTATAAGGAAAATGAGCCGAGTGATTTTGACAGTGTATTTAGGGAGTTTGAGAAAAGATAATAGAAGGGTATTTTGGAAATAAAAAAGATGATATATAATAATTTTTTATGTCCATGTCAGACTTTCAAAAAATTCCATTAATTTGAAAAACTGAATTTCGACTTTATTCTTTTGTCTTTTGACTCACAAAATTCCATTTTTATGGAATTATTCCTAAAAACAATTATGATATTCTTATGGTTTTGATGATCAAAAATTAAAAAATAAAAATAAAAAAATAAGTAAATAAAAAATCGCCTTTCTGTTTACCGTGTGAAGTCCACATGCTATAACGGATACACAGAAGCTTCTAAAGTTCTATTGAGTCAGCTGTTACAAGTCATTCAAACGCGTTACAATTATTGACGGTACCCAAAAAATGTACTGATCTAATAACACTTCAACGCCCCGAATGGTACCTTTTTTTGGTACGCGTATACGCAATGCTCTAAACACTTCTTCCAGGAAAATGGGTCTCATGTAATGTAACCATACCCCTCTCTATATAAAGCTCATTGATATTGTCTGTCTCCTTCACAACATCATCTCCTTCACATACCTAGCAATATTTCTAAGGCATCTCTATAAAAATTCCATCTTGTGCTTAGTACTATATACTTCTAAACCCCAACAATGGCAGAGAAGGATCAACAGGTCTATCCCTTGCCTATATCAACCAACCCTCAAGCCAAGCACGACGAAGAGGCCGGCACAGTGCTGTCCCAAGAGCTTCGTCGCAAGAAACGCATGAAATGCTTGGCTTATGTTGTTGCCTTTGCCGTGTTCCAAACCGGTATTATATTGCTCTTTGCACTCACGGTTATGAAAATCAAAACTCCCAAGTTCCGCGTTAGGTCTGCTACATTCGAGAGCTTTAATGTTGTGACAACAACTAGTGCTCCTTCATTTGACATGAAGATGAATGCTGAACTTGGTGTCAAGAATACCAACTTTGGTCACTACAAATTTGAAAACAGCACTGTTTACTTCTTCTATAAGGGTACAGAAGTTGGGAGTGCCTCTGTTTCTAAGGCACGGGCTAGAGCTCGATCCACCAAGAAATTCAATGTTGTGGTGGACCTAACATCGACCAATTTACCAAGCAATTCAGGCTTAGGTGACGATTTAAATTCTGGGGTTTTGCAGCTGACTAGCCAATCGAAATTGAAAGGCAAGGTGGAGTTGATGAAGGTGATGAAAAAGAAGAAATCCACGGAAATGAGTTGCACATTGACCATAAGTTTGGCGGACAAGGCAATTAGAGATTTAAATTGCAGATGAAACTTTTTTTTCCTTTTTCTTTTTTCTTTTCTTGACCATATGTTCTTGGGTTATTTAATGCTTGGCTTTCCATGAAACTATTGTGATCATGTTTATTAATACTGGGTGTAGTACCCAAGGTGTATCTTTTTTAATATTCAATTTATTTATTTATTTTTCATATCTTATATCTATTATTTATATAAATTTTTGTCCCCACTCGCTTGCAAAGATTGAAGGCTTTATATTTTTCTCTGTTTGGTTTGAGAGCCACTAGATCGTGAGTAAAAAGGGAAAACAAAATTGATAAAGTGAAAAAAAATAATAAATCACAGCATGTTAAATTTGGTGATGAACATAGCTCGAGTTATGCCTTTATTATACGCCATGTGCCTCACTGTCTTAGTTAATACCAAGGGCTAGGGACGAATCCATAAAATTGTGTGAGAGAGTAAAAGTGTGATTTTATTTTATTTTTTATTTTTTATTTTTTGTTGTAATTTGAGAGAGAGCAACGGTAAAATTTAATTGGTATATAATTCAAAAAATGTGTTAGACCAAGAGGGAGTGAATTGGTCAAATTAAACTTCTTCTTGTAATGGTTTACTACATGATCAATATTAAACACAAGATATACAAGAAAACCCTCTCAATAGGGAAAATCCTTAATTCTTGGCCTCAGCCAATAATGAGCTCCACTAGTTGTATGCAAATAATTACACACATAGTTGTTTCACACTCTGTACACACCCTTGTACAAGTTAAGACACTAATTTTCACATCCTTTACACACATACTATCTAAACACACATACCCTTGTACAAGTTAAGACACTAGTTTTCACATCCTCTACACACGTACTAACTATGAACACTGACTTTCCCTGTCCTAAGCACCCTTGCTTGACCCTGCAAGCTCTCACAGCTCACCAAATATAAGAAAAAGTGGTCGTGCAGCTCAAAACACCAATCTGTAGCCTCTAGAACCCTTTCTGCATAATCTAGGGTTTGAGGGGTAAAATAAAAAAATTCATGTCCCAAAAATTCTGAGATCAATCCTACAGCCTTATATCATTATTACAAACATACTCAGATGATAAATATGATAAGTACAACATGTATATATCAATATAATCTCAATTAGGCCTTGGCAACAACTATTCACTTAAGAACTTATGGTTTTGGTAGGTCAAAACCTAAGATAACCAAAGTTCTATCCAAAAGCCACCATCAAAAGCTTATATTCATCAATACAAACTTGATAGCATGTAGATCACTCATTGTATAGCAGGATATAACCAATCTTTATATGAATCACAAGGCTAAACCAGCAAATAGCCCAAATCATAGGTCTAAGAGTGGAAAATCATTTGCACCATAGTATAGTTCAAGAACAAGTGCTCAGCAAATGTAAATACCTCAAATATACCTATCGCAACCTTCACTTGGAAGCACAGCAACTTCAAGCTCAAACTCAGCCTTCAAACCAGCCCTTACACCAGCAACGTACCTTGATAGTAAAACAACCTCCATGATGAATACAACAACAAGGATCAATCCAGCAACATCTCTATGAAGATTTCAAACTTAAATCATCATCAAGGACCTTAATTAGAAAAAATTTGTTCAAAGGAGGCTAGTATAGTATAATGCAGGTCACTATTAGGGTTTTCAATGAGGCTTGAAACCCTAGAAATTTTATAACAACATATATATACTTGAGCTCACTATACAAATCCTACTACAAGAAGGATGTACACATGGCACCTTTATTCAATCATTGGCTAGAGAATGTTCTGGCATTCTTCCTGTGAATAGACCAATATAACCTTGCCACTTCAACTGTTTTGTCTTCTAATATACCAGAAATTACAGCTCATAATAAGAAGGCTGTAATGACATTCTTATCCAAACATAGTCCCTAAAAAATGCATTTGTAGTGTATACAAATGTCACATACCTGAGCTTCAAGTAGAAAGACCAAAATGCCTTTGTACTAGCCTCTTGTCACTCTCAGCATAATACAAATCTTGAGACTGTATAAATCACAATGTATGCTAAATCGCAGTTGTTTAATACAATTCATCTATCTAAACATATGTATAAACATATAACACAACTATGAAAAGACCATAGTGCCCCTGAAAGTCCCTGTAGCTAATTTTCATGTGTTGAACCTCAATTTACACTACAAAATAACCTGAACATGTAGAATGGCTACAATGTGCTATCTCAAACATTTGTGTAATTGTGCCACAAGATGGCAAAAGATAATACTACCCCTGTGTGATGATTTAAGCCGTTCTATTACACCAGTGTTTGGCATTAAACAGTCAAACACCACTTAGTACACATTAGGACCAACAAAAGGAAAAATTATTAGTACATAAAACTAAAAATATATATATATATATATATATAATGGGGGAAATTGCCCCCATTGACACTATACACTATGTTCGTGCTTGTCAATGGGATCAGTCTTTTCTTTTGAAGTAGCTACATATTTTTAAAATCACAACCATGCTGGGTTTTGAATGAACGAATAACATAGCCAAATACAAAGCATGGATTATGTAAGAAATTGACCGCATCAATAATCCTTTTTATCTCATTCATTTAACAATGAATTCTTTTTTTTTCCTAATGTTAGATTATATATCACTATAATATCTGTTACCTACCACCTAGGGTTTCTTGCATTTATGCATCTACTTAATTACCATGTATAGATGACTTGATCTTCGCTCACCTACCCTCAAATCTTCTCCTATATATTATGTGCTCTTTATTCTATGAAACGCAATATTCATTCATATATTTTACATTCTATTAGAGCCTGTTGATTATTGGTAATAGTCTTATCAGTTTATCGTAATCATCACCGAGGATGGCACCATTAGCCCTATCCTCGTCAACTGTCCACCTTCAAACTCACACTCTCGTACATGCCACGAGGAAGTTTCACCATCTTCGGTCCCACCATAATCTCTATTCACATATCTGGTTGGTGGACAACATCACCATTTCTGGTGGGAGTCCCGCCATGGTTGACAAATCAAGCACCAGAGATGGTGGAGGAAATCAACATTATCTTCTTTAAAGACCAACATTCACATGATGGTCACTTTCAAGGACGGACCCAGAAATTCATTTGGGGGGAGGGGGGGCGACCTTTAACAACAATAGGATAAAAAAATTGAAACCATTCTAATAAGTAAAAATAAATTAAACGTTCATTGATAATTCCCTTTAGTACATTTACAATTGTTCTCAATGACTTTTCATATCTTGAAAACGCTGTAAGATAACTTAATTACTATACCAATAGATATATCTTTTTCAATATAAACTACCAAACTATCACTCATCCATTCATCTCCCATCTTGTTGTGCAATCTATTCTTCACGATTTTCATAGTAGAAAAAGCCCTCTCTACAGTTGCAGTTGCAACTAGAAGGATCAATGCCAATATCATAAGCAAATAAATTAGTGAATACATTTTGTCCCTTTTGGTTTCAACCATCTTTTTTGCAGGATCACCAATCCCTTTTAATCCTTCAAACTCGCTTCTAGAGCCCACATCCGCAATATAATTATTAAGTTGATCACCAAGTTCTATTAAAGTATTTGGAGAAAATTCTTTTGCAGAAAATTCAGCAAGGCGGATTATTTTTGCTTCTCGAAAGCAAAAAATGAATCATTTAGACACAAACATGCCACACAAAGCAACAACTTAGTGTTCACTTTAGTAAAACGATTATTTAGCTCTTGAAGTTGCATATCTATAACAACATAAAACAACTCAAAATGATAGTGATACAAGTTTGAGCTTTCATAAGCATTACGTCGTGGTCTTCCTCGAGCTGAAAATGGATCATCGATATTAGGAACGGGAATGCCATGTTTGACACAAAAAGAAGAAGCCACATCAAGTAAAGAGTCCCATCCACTCTCCCTCATCCTTTGCAATTGGTTCTTGCATACTTTGACATAGGATATAGCAATCACAATCTCTTCATCTTTTCTTTGAAGTGCATTCGGCAATTCATTTGTAACTCCTAAAATAACTCTCATCATATGCAAACTAAATATGAACTTAAATGATTGTATGTGTTGCAATAGAAGACTTACTTCAAACTTTTGTTCAAAAGACCCATCCATTAAAATTAACTCAAGTACACAAACAGTGGCTGAAAACATGGTGATCACGCTAATCAAAGTGTTATAATGTGAACCCCAACGTGAATCACTAGACCGTTTAAGAGAAATGTTCTGATTTAAGCCTTGCCCATTTAAAAGCTCACCATTGTCAAGCGCATCGGCAACTATGAATATTTGCTGCTCTCGGAGAATATCACAACGTTTACATGAACCACCAGCTACATTCACAACACTAGCAACAAAAGCAAAGAGAGAAACAACATCTTCACGTTTTATTGCCACACCCCCGAGAGCCAATTCAAGTTGATAGGCAAAGCAATGAATGTAAAAAACACATTCATTCTGCTTCAAGATAAGAGTTTTGAGACCATTCAACGCGCCTCACATATTACTAGCCCCATCATAACCTTGCCCGCGCAATCTAGAAATGTTCAAGCCATGTCTAGAAAATAAATTATCAATCGCCGCCTTCAAAGAGATAGCAGTGGTATTAGTAACATGCACAAAACCCACAAAACATTCAACTATATGTCCATTCTTGTCCACGTAGTGCAATACACAAGCCATTTGCTCCTTTGTTGATATGTCCTGAGACTCACCAATTAGAATAGAAAAAAAAAGCATCGCCAACATCTTTGATGTTAATAGTGATAGTCTCCAATGCAATAACATTAACAATGTCCTTTTGAATCTTAGACGCCTTTAGCTTAGTATTTTGAGGAGAATTTTTCAATTTAACCACATTAATATCCTCATTATGATTCGCAAGAAATTGCAATGTCTTGAGAAAATTCCCTTGGCTATTCGAATCCTCAGATTTATCACCACTACGAAATGCAAGCCCTAGTTTCAAAAGATATCGATTGTACACAATCAATTGATGCAATAAATCAAGTACAATAATCAATTCATGCCTTATCTGAATACTTGGATAAAATTGTTTGGATGTGTTGCTTTTGACTCTTTAAAGCTTCACACATACTCGAAGCTTGGTTATGGGCACTATTCGGACTTCCAATGTGACCATGCAATCTTTCAATCTTCTTCCAATTTGAAAATCATTCACCCATAAAGGATGTGCCACTTGATTGTTCTCCAATATTTGGTTTAAAGAGATAACAACATAAACAATATGCCGCATCCTAAGCTATGCTATATTATAACCAACTAGAATATTTAACAAACCATTCCGGTTGGAATCGTCATAAGTATTTTCCAAATTGCTTTTGAGGAAACTCATAGACTTTAGGTTGGTAAGGGCCATTCAGTATATATGCTCTGCAAATTTTATCTCGGACATTAGGATTGTAATCCAATATCAGAGTTCGTAGTTTAGGATCTGCAGGAAGATCCTTAAGGTTGATCTCTACATCACTTTTTTTCTTTTTCTTTTTTTTTTTTCCCTGAATGGGAGGATTTTATAAATAAGAATGTACATTACAATAATTGTAGGGAGGTATACCTCCTTTTGACAAAATCATGAGCTAGAATATGCCCATTTCCAGTAAATGCTAGACAACATCAAAAACATCATAAAGAGGAAGAAATTACAATCAATAAGTCCTCTAATATAATATTAAGGAATATTATTACATCCCAAATAATAAATTGCACAACAAAATTAGGACTATCTTTACATCCATGATGAAGAGTAGTATTGCGCATGGACCAAATCTTCTAAATGGTAACTGAGAAAACAACGCACAATACATCACTCTGCTTTGAAAAGTCATTCACTTTTCCCTAATAGGGTGGGTAGGGTGGCAACTTTCTCGGATAATATTTATCCATTACTGATTCTAAAATGATTTATTTAATTAGCTGATCACAATTTAGGGTTTATGCAACTAACTAATAACTATCAGCCACAACAACATTATTGAGTTGAACACAGAACAATACACTTGTGTTGTGCATTGCGCATAAATTATAGTCATAATTGTGCGCATGTACAGTGTGCTACGTGCATAAGTTAATTAATGAATAACAATCACAACAATAACATAATTGTGCAATTTGTGCGCCTGTGCACTGTCCATATTTTAAAATATGAGGGAAAAAAATCAATCCAAAAAAAAAGGATTCAATCATTCAAGGATACACAATAAATTCAATAATAAATATAGTTCTGAGTTTTGAGTCTGTATACCGTGGCGTGTCTGGTGTCACCGTGAGTCAAGTTTACTCAGCCTGCTCCTAATGCTTCTTTTCAATAAAGCTCCAATTTTTTGAACCCCACTTCCACTTTTTAGTTTCCAGTTTCTGGAATATATAATTTAGTTTCCGATTTTCTCTTAGTGGAATAGTTTGTAGATCTAATTTTGCTAGTTCTCAAAAAGTCAAAAGGTATTTGCCTTTTGCATTTTCACCCTTTTTGGCTTTATTTTTAATATATCTATGTGTGTGTTTGCATATCAAATTTTGCAAGGGTTCCAAAAAAGTCAGTCAAAAGATGTGTGAGAAGAGGGAGAGGGCAACAATGTTTTAACTATAGGGGGGCAAGTATTAAATTTACAGCTAAATAATTTAATTTATTATAAAAAATTAAAATTTTAATACTAAAAAAATATACATATTTCAGGGGGGGAGGGGGGGCAATTGCCCCTCTAACTTCTTGTTAAGTCTGTTCCTGGTCACTTTGAGAACAATCAACAATAATGCCACCTCACCAGTAGTGATAGCAACCAACCTCGTTAGCTACCATATTAGACATAGGCAGCAGTAATGGTGCCAGTAGTAGTGCCACGTTAGTTATTTTGTCAAGCCGTTTTTATGATCTTGTCTTGAAACTCAAGTTGGTTTCACACTCACCTTAAGTTTAGGGGAGTTGTTAGATTATATATCACTATAACATCCCTTACGTACCACCTAGGGTTTCTTGCGCACCTACACCTACGTAGTTACCATTCTGACTTGACCATCACTAAGCTACCCCCAAATCTTCTCCTATATATAGAATTTTTATGTACTATTCATTCAATGCAATACAATATTTATTCGTACATTTAACGCCTAAGATAATAGAAATTGAAGATATGTGAAATATTAAATATATCACAAGAATGGGCATTGTCCAAGTAAGTTGTTGAAAATTATAATAGTGATTCCAATGTGCTTTCAACAAACCTTTTCAAGTTTTTAGATTTCTCCGATGGCACAGAACAATTACAATGTTATAGTTTAAGCACACAAACACTTCTACTGTGCTCGGGCATATATTTCTTTGACATCTCTAACCTCCAATGGATAGTTGACAAGATTTTCTTATTATCAATAAATTATGTGAAACATATCAATTAATTAAAGGTAAGAAACTTAGATTTTCAAATTCTCATAGATGTTCTCTCTCTCTCTCAAATCCAACATTTGAAGGCTTACACATGTTGATTTTAGTAAAATTTCAACAAAAATTGATTTGAGCATATAAGCGTATTATTATTGCATTACGTATAAAAAATAATGTTTTACATTGTTTTTAACGTTTTAAAACTCTAGGTGAAGACTTCTTTTCAAAGTAATGAAACCGTGAAGTCACATGAGATGCCATCAAGGATTCTTTTAATAGTTTTTGTATTACCTTAAAAATCTTTTGTACCCACAAGTTAGAGCAAAATGGTGTTGCAATCACCTTGATCACTAAGATGGACTTGTATTTATTCTTTCAACCCTCCATGTTGCCAACAAATACAGTTGTGAAGTGTACACACAAATTTTGTAAGTCTGCAATAAAAACAAAATATGGAGCAAAATAGAATTTTATTAATTTATGAATGTGGAGTACAGTCCTTTGTAATATCTTTTACAAAAAAAAAAAGAATGGTCCTCTAATTCGATCTCCTTGTTTTTGGTTGGTTGGATCCAAGGGCTGCACGAGCTTGTTCTTAAATCACTGTGGAATTTGATGAAGAACGGCACGTTGTTGGATGTGCTTGATGTTCTTCACTTTTGGGTTTCGATTCTGAATTTGCGTCTGAATTCTGAGTCTCTGAACTTCTGAATTCTGAATTTGTGTCTGAATTTGTAGACTTCTGAATTCTGAATCCTCTCCCTTTTTCTTCCTCCAGGCCTCTATTTATAGGCTTCTTGGATTAATAGGATGATGACACGTGTCATCTCCTGATAAGGATAAAACTATAACTGGGCCGGGCCGGTTATATTGTGATAATTATCCTTAAAGATAATTATTCAAAATATATTTTATTAGGAATAATTATCATTTTATTTAATTATCTGGGCTGGGCTAATTAAATAATTTAAGTGGACCAAGCCAGGTAAATTAAATAATTTATTTAAACATTAGGCCTATATTTAATGGGTCCATTCGTTAAAACCAAAGCCCACTAAATTTTAGTGTCTACAAATTGCCCCCACTTCAAGTCCCAATTTTAACAAGACTTGTCTCTTTTTCCAAGTGGGACTTGAAGTTTCCTTTTTTTTTTTTTTTTTTTTTCATCTTAATTGTACTTTCCTATTTAAATTGAATTGTCCAAATCCCAATACAACTTGAAGGTATCTTGTTGCCTATATATACCCTCAATATTGTAGGGTTTGATATCAATTCCAAAAATCTCTGAAGACTTGTCAGATCACAAATAATTGGTACGTGTGTTTCTTCTTCTTTTTTTTTTTCTTTTTTTTTTCACGCATGTAGGAGAACAATTTTTTTTTTTTTTTTTTTTTCTTCTCTCCACGCACGCTGGAGAACCCCTTTTTTTTTTTTTTTTTTTTTTTTTTCTAACCCCCTTTTTTTTCTTTGCAGGGCTTGATTGGGTATAACAACTTGATTTGTGTCAACCGTAGCAGAAATTGAGTCCTCCTTCTAGACAACACCGATTTGAGCTTTGTTATCCATCATGGTGGTGTTCAAGTGTTTCACAAAGCAAAAGCTGACTATCTTAGAGAGCGAAAATAGTCAACGAGTCCAAGGAATGACATTAAGTGTATATGACTCACTTTTTGGTCGCAATGCTATTCAAGTGCCTGATTCTAACAATAAACATTGTTCATCTCAGTGGACATGCACGGCCACATGCGAACTCACCGACTTTGGTCCTGATCAGATTAATGAAGAATCTATTGTCTCTAAAGCCTTGATACTAAATTCTTCACTTCATGAGAGAGTTGTTGAAGAAAACCAGTTTTCACTTTTGGGTCTTAATATTCAGGCGAAGGAAATATCATGGAGTATTCCCTATAAACTTCCTGCTGAATTGCTATACACCGAACTATATTGGGAGTGGTTAGAAGATGTCTTGGCGCGTTTCCATGACTTTCTATCAAAACAACAACTATATGGTGCTTTATTCGCCTCCCTATTTTCCTATAATCGTCATGAAGATGTATTCAAAGCATTCCTTGAATGTTGGTGCCCAGCCACTAATACACTTCATTGTTTTATTGGCGAGCTATCAATTTCTCTTCGAGATCTATATATGCTAGGTGGTCTCCCTCACCAAGGAACAATTTATGATGAAGTTATTCCTTGTGCAGATGAACTATCAAGAGCTAGCAACAACAAAAATTCTATCCCTTTGAGTTGTCAACACCTATTTTTGGCCTTCCACAGA